TTATCTGGTTACTGCAGTAAGCATGTAAGCAAAGCAATATTTACTTGTTAAACTTTTCCATCCCTAGTATAAATCAGATGAGGCGCATTCTGGGAATTCCAGGGGAGCTGACTGCCACCCTGCCCTGTGGGTATAAAGCTTATACTGCAGCTGTCTCCCTGGGTGCAGGGCTGGGAGCTGGTGCATGCGGGGAGCCAGTGTATAAGCCAGCTCTGGGCACACACTGGCTCCTCGTGGCTGCAGAGCCAGAGCATGTGTAATTGTATAGCTGCTAAGATGTTTAATGCCTACGCAGTTACTTCTTTAACAATTTTTTACATCCCTATCCTCCATACCTTCGGGTGTGTTGCCTCCATGGTGGCAAGTCATGTTTGGCTACCAAGTACCATCCAGGCAAGGAGCTTGTATTTGCTGCAAGTATCAAAACTATCCCTGGTGCTCCTGTGGACAGCCAGTAGTGAATGCTTTGCACTCATGAGCATCAGATTCCACTTTTGCAGCAGCCTTCTGGAAACGAATGCAACATATTATTAGCAGTAGTTCGTATTATTAATGAAGGACACTAAGTTTAGCGCCGTGCAGGCAGCTCTTGTTAACCCACAACAAGGTCTGACCCTGATTTCCTGCCATCTTATGCCCTCCACTGCTGCTTCCAGTCCATGCAGAGGCAATGGCAGACGTTCCTCTGGTGTGATCTTTTGGATGAATGAGAACATGCAGTGGGGATCTAGCTACGCAAGGGCATTTTTCTGGCTTTTCACTGACAATTGCTCACAGGCCTTGGTATTGACACTTGTATCAATATATGAGTCTAAATCTCCTGTGTTGATTTGAAGATGTGGCATTTAAATATCTGAATGGCTTCTCTGAACTGGCCTGAGTCTTCCAACAGCTGTGTTATTTGGGTGTCTAGAATGTCTCCAAGCTTTCAGGGAACTCCCTCCCCCTTGTAGAGGAGAACTGTTTCCGTTTCACACCTCAATATAGATGCTTCCCCTGCAGTGAGTGCCTCATGAACGGAGTGCTGTCAGCGACTGCCTGTGCAGAATTCACTGCAGGATCAGGGGTCATCAATAATTGCAAAGACATTTCACTGTCACTAATCCTTGGTATTCAGCCTTCCAGCTAAACTGAGTTTACCTGCCCCCCAGAAATCTCACAAGACAGCCAGTTGTAGGCTCTGTTGCAGACTGTAGAGTTTCATGTTGATGAGAAGAGAGTGTAAAAAGAAACTACAGTTCCAGCCCTATCAGAGTTCTTCTGTCAAAACCCTGTTCCTTTGCTGCTTCACCCCTTGTGTTGTCACTTTCACTAATACCCACTGGGTGTGAAAGGCTGCCACTCTGAGCCTGTTATACTTGCCGCTCACTTTGTGCAGATGCAGGTGCTAGCACCAGGTGGCAGGTAGTGGAGCTTCAGGTGTGCTCTTTACGATTGCCATTTGGTTTGTGGCAAGCTCAGACCCTGTAAAATATAACTCCCCCTCACTTCCCCCCCACACAAAATGGCATTGAAATCAGGGGGATATGAGCTCATCCTTAAAGTGAAGCATGTGCCATTAGTACACAGCTGAATCCAGTCCTGAAAGAACAAGATACTTTCCTGTCACTTCCTGTTATCCTTTTCAGTAGCTTTGCACATCTCATTTAGCACTAACCCTTTTGGGTATGATGTTCACATGGCACAGAACACTGATGCAAGGGAGATCTGTGTTCACAGGCAGCACAGGGATGTGATATCAGATCACACCCTTGCGCCACAAAGCACCTGCCTAGCACAGCATGCCACACCGATCATTAGAGCCCAGCATAGTCACAAAATTTGTATCCACATCTGCACAATGATCCCCAGATGCAGATACCCATGGATATAATCATAGAAACATAGAATACTAGGACTGGAAGGGACCTTGAGAGGTCATCGAGTCCAGTCCCTTCCCTCATAATGCAGATATTCACACATTTGCAGGGGTTTAGATACAAAATTTGAATCCTTGTCAGTATACACAAAAACGAGCCACAGATCTCGGCAGCCATATCCATGGATGTGGGTGGGTATCCATGGATATAAAACAGACAGTCATGGATTTGCAGGGCTCTGCAGATCATCCAGGGTTGGCCCTTGTGAAGATCATTCCATTTGAGATTTCTTCCTTTCTGCCTGTGGAACCCTTTCCTAAAGGAAACTGTGTGGGCCAAGCCCTAGTGGATTTACTGTGAGAAACAGCCCTGAATTATCTGGGGAGCAGCATGGCTTAATAAATCATTTCCGTCTCTAATTTCTATGTCTCTATGGAATTCCTTTCATTTGCTGCTAGCCAGAAGGAAGGGAGGTGTAAGGAATCCGGCCTTCCCCCTACTGTCTTCCTGCAGCTGCAAAATGGAGTCAGTCATTATTTTAGAGAAACTCTCTGTTTGGCAACATGAAATGCCTGGCAGTAGAGTGGTGCTAATAGAGTTTTGATGGGCTCTTGCACAAACACTGTTAAAGAGAGTAAATCAGGTGAGTGTCTCACACCGAGGAGTGTTTGGGGCACGTGGGATGGCTTCTCAGATTAAGTGTCTGTCAACCTGTGCTGATTCTCTAGCATGTGATTTGTGTTCAGGTTAACTTCTCCAACACAATAGTTATTGCATCCCTAAAACAGATCATTCCATTTGTAGCTTCAGCAGCCTCATTGCATCTCTGTGTCTTCCACTGAAGGCTATTTGGTAAATTTCCATCTTGGAAAATCCCAGTCGATATTCCTCTGCCTTCTGCTATTTTTGCTCTTTGCCCTGCTGGAAACACTAAACACTACTTCTGGGCTCTGTTCATCTTCACATTGATTCCAGTAGGTCCAGTAGAACAGGGGCCTACTCCAGCTCCCACTGTATCCAGAAGAGCCCCTTCACTCACCTTAATGGGAGCTGGAACAGGTTCCAGAGCACAGACCCACAGCAGGCTCTGAGCTATGCATGAAACTTTCTGACCCGCTGGCCTGCAGTGTCCCTCACTGCCCCTTGCCTGCAGAGGTCCATGCTGTGCATCAAGCAGCACTTCATTTGGTTTTGACTCTTCTCAGTCAGGCCCTTCATCATGGTTTTAATGCCAGTCCAGGCATGAAGATTTATCTGCCTTAACTTATTTCTTGTCCCTTGTTTTGTAGCAGCAACAGCAGATACCCCGTAGCAGCCAAGAGGACAAGGATGAAAAAGAAAAAGAAAAGGAGAAGGAGGCAGAGAAGGAGGAAGACAAACAGGAAGCAGAAAATGACAAAGAAGAACTGACGAAGTAAGCAACTTTCCTCCTCTCTCTCGGCTCCCTGCCCCTAGAGATCATAGTGTGCATTGGGGATGTGAAGGACTAGTCGACTATCTCATAAGCAAATGCTTATCAAATAGTTGAGAGGATAGTTGACTAGTTACTTCCCACTCTGTGCTGCCTCTATCAAATAGAGGCAGCAAGGAAGGGGGAGAAGGAAAGAAGGGGGTACGTCAAAGCTGCAGCACCGCTTGGAGCCTAGGATCAGTTGGCGACTCCCCAGCTGACCCCAGGCACCATGTGACGCTGCCGCTTTGAAATGCTGCTGTGATGTTTCAGAGTGGCAGCACCACATGGAGCCCGGGGTCAGCGGGGGAGTCCTCAGCTGACCTTGAGCTTCTGCGATTTCACCTTTGAAGTGTAGCAACAGCCCTAGGGCTATCAACTATTCTGTTAGTCAGTTACCCAATACTTAAGGGCATGTCTACACTGCCACCCTAGTTCAAACTAGGGTGGCTAATGTAGGCATTCAAAGTTGCAAATGAAGCCCGGGATTTAAATATCCCAGGCTTCATTTGCATCTTGCCAGGTGCCGCCATTTTTAAATCCCCCTTAGTGCGGACGCTGTGCCTGCGGCACGGAGTAGGTAGTTCGAATTAGGCTCTCTAATTCGTGGAACAAGGTGTACCAGTAGTTCGAATTAGAAAGCCTAATTCTAACTACCTACTCCGTGCCGCGTGTAGCCGTGGGCACGGAGTCCGCACTAAGGGGGATTTAAAAATGTCAGTGCCCGGCAAGATGCAAATGAAGCCCGGGATATTTAAATCCTGGGCTTCATTTGCAACTTCGAATGCCTACATTAGCCACCCTCGTTCGAACTAGGGTGGCAGTGTAGACATACCCTGACATCCTTAGTGTGCATGGGCTGAGAATGCATCATTTCAGTGCTCCCTCCTTAACAGCCAGGAGCTGCACTGGAGGAGTAGTGGGGGGAAGTGCATCCAGCAGAATCTGGGCTCTGATCCCAGTATTGGGTGCTCCTTCTGCAGGTTACCTGGGTTGTGCTGCCCAAGGCTCCCTGTTCTCCTAGCTCAGAGCAGGCTATGCCTGCTGCCTGTGCCGTCCTGAGGGGGGTGCAGGACCTGGGGCAACCCCTCTCAGTGTCCTAGGTGTGGGGCTTGGGGCAACACGCCGCCGCAGGCTCCACCCCGCATCCACTCCACCCCTTCAGTAGTCCCTATCCCTGTTCCCTCCCACCTTCCCTGGAGCAATACAGCCTGGGAGGTTACAGGGGCCTGGTGCAGCAGCAGCAGGAGTCACCTCCCTCCACTCACCAATGGGCAGCGAGAGCCAGAGTGGCTCACCAACAGACTGCCATGCCACTGTTTCTCCCAGCTGGTGGGTTCAGGAGCACCCTGCTTTCTGCCACTGTTGAGAAGCCGAGTGCAGCAGGCTGGAAGGGCAGCACAGCAGGGTGAAGCGGAGCAGGCTTCTGGCCACTCTAGCTCCTGTCATTGCGGTAAATGTGATGGTTAGGGGACCGCTGCTGCTGTGGTGCCAGGCCCCCATGGGACAATTGGAGCAGCTATTGGAGGGCCCCCAAAAGCACAGGCCTGGGATGGCTGCCCCAAACCATCCTATGGAAAGGACAACTCTGCCTAATGCTAGTGAAGGAGCGAGTCTGTTTGAGCTTCCCCTTCGCAGTGTTACATCAGTGTGAGATCTTGCAGCTCAAGGGATTGGGCCAGGTTTATAACTGTGTCTCCCTTAGTGCCTGGCACGGCATTGCTTAGTGGAGAGCGCTGGATTTGTTGCTGGGAAAGGTTGGCAGGCAGGCTGCTAGCTGTTATCTGTAATGAGCTTTAATACTTGGCTCAGGAGAACATCTGGCTTCATTATATCCAAGCTGCCTAGACATTTACCAGCAGGTCCCTTTCAGGAAGATAAATGAGGGGAAGGTGATGATAAATTGGAAAGGCCCAGCCTTAAACCTGTCTCTGTCAGGTTTCTGCATGCCCTTGGCACTGGAACTGCAACCATCTGCAACCTCTCCTTCCTCCTCCCCTCCCCCGGCCCAGCCCACCCAAAGTCAGGCCAAGTGCCCTCTTTGCAATCTCCTGACATTGATCCTGTCATGCATCCATTCCCCCACTCTCGCAGGGAGAAGAATGACGACACCTCTGGGGAAGATAACGATGAGAAAGAAGCTGTCACTTCCAAAGGGCGCAAAACTGCCAACAGTCAGGGCAGGCGCAAAGGCCGCATCACCCGTTCCATGGCTAACGAGGCCAACAATGAGGAGGCAGCTGCTCCGCAGCAGAATACAGAGCTGGGTATGTACCTGCTGGGGTTGTGGGCTGAGCACAATGCCTCAGTAACTCACAGTTGGAAGGAAGGGTTTATGTTAGTCCAGCTAGTTAGAAGGAAGGAAGGTCCTGGGATCAGAGTCTGAGCTTTTCCTCTGGTTTGGCACTGATTCATTAACAACATAAGAATGGCCATACTGGGTCAAACCAAAGGTCCATCTAGCCCAGTATCCTCTCTGTCGATAGTGGCCAATGCCAGGTGTCCCAGAGGAAATGAACAGAACAGATAATCGCTAAGTGAGCCACCCCCTATCACTCCTTCCCAGTTTGTGACAAGGGTAGGGACACCATCCCTTACCAGTTTGGCTAATAGCCACTGATTGACCAATCCTCTATGAATATATCTAGTTCTATGTTGAACCCAGTTAAAGTCCTGGTCTTCATAGCATCCCTGGCAAAGATTTCTACAGGTTGACTGTGCATTGTATAAAGAAGTACTTCATTTTGTTTGTTTTCAACTGGCTACTTATTAATTTTAGTTGGTGACCCCTAGTTCTTGTATTATGGGAACAAGTAAATAACTTTTCCTTATTTCTTCCACTCTACTCTGAGCTGGTTAGGCCTCAGTTGGAGTATTGTGTCCAGTTCTGGGCACCGCATTTCAAGAAAGATGTGGAGAAATTGGAGAAGGTCCAGAGAGGAGCAACAAAAATAATTAAAGGTCAAGAAAACATGACCTATGAGGGAAGACTGGTCTTGTTTAGTTTGGAAAAGAGAAGACTGATTGGGGACATGATAGCAGTTTTCAGTTGTCTAAAAGAGTGTTACAAGGAGGAGGGAGAAAAATTGGTCTCCTTGCCCTCTGAGGATAGGACAAGAAGCAATGGGCTTAAATTGCAGCAAGGGAGGTTTAGGTTGGACATTAGGAAAATCTTCCTAGCTGTCAGGGTGGTTAAACACTGGAATAAATTTCTAAGGGGGGTTGTGGAATCTCCATCTCTGGAGATGTTTAAGAACAGGTTAGTTAAACATATTAGGGTTTATCTACATGGTGCTTGGTCCTGTGAGGGCGAGGGACTGGACTTGATAACCTCTCTAGATCCCTTTCAGTTCTACGGTTTTATCATTCTATGATTTAATTTCTCCACCCCAGTTATGATTTTATAGACCTCTATCATATCCTCCCTACTTGTCTCTTTTCCAGGCTGAAAAGTCTCTCCTCATATAGCAGCTGTTCCAAACTCCTAATCAATTTTGTTGCCCGTTTCTGAACTTTCTTCAATGCTAGTACATTTTTTTTTCAATGCGATCACATCCGTATGCAGTATTCAAGATGTGGGCGTACCATGGATTTATATAGAGACAATAAGATATTCTCTCTTATTCTCTATCCCTTTCTTAATGATTCCTAACATTCTTTTTGCTTTTTTGACTGCCACTGCACATTTGGTGGATGATGTTTTCAGGGAGCTATCCACAATGACTCTAAGATCTCTCTCTTGAGTGGTAACAGCTAATTTAGTCCCCATCATTTTATATGTCTAGTTGGGATTAAGTTTTCCAGTATACGTTACTTAGCATTTATCAAAATTAAAATTCTTCTGCCATTGGGCAGCCTTGGCCAAGTCCTTGCACCTCTGTTTCTCTATCTGGAAATGGAGGATGATAATTCTGTCTGACAGCTCTGGCTTTTTTCACATTCCTCCTGTCCTGAGGAGTGGGAGTGATTTTTCACCGACACCTCCAGATTCATCCAGCTGTTGAGGGGGCATTTGAGGGCCAGGCCTTTGTCTCACCAGGTGAGGTTGGAACCTCTTGACCCCTGAGCTAGAAAGCCCTGAGGGAGGTGAAAAGAATTGTGTTGTTTTTAGCGAACCTTTATGCAGGCATCTCTCTGCTGCCAGTGGCTACTGAGTACAAAACCATCCTTGGTAATCTGGTTGGCAGTGTTTTGCCAGCTCCACAGCCAGCATCTTTTCAATGGCAAGGGAACATGCTCTGCTGTGCTGCACTTGACCAGCGGCCTGGCTTGGAGTCACTTGCTCACTCGTTTTCCCTCCTGCCCCAGCTTCCTCCCATTGGTAGTGCTGGGGTCCAAAGCAGGAGTGACAAGTGACAGCTCTGACACAGTCCGTGGCAGTGATCCAGGCTTTCCCTTCCTTGCCTCTGCGGGTACCACCGATGATGGCTTGGTGAAGGGAGGGCTGGGATAACTCTGCCACTAGTCTGTGGTTCCATATTTCTCCCATAGTACAGGATCCTTGGTGTGCTCCCTGCAAGTCAGTTGCTCCTTGTCCAAGTACACTGGGACCTTGTTAGTTGAGCTAGTCTGTCCTGTGCAGGTCTGATTCCCTGCCCCATTTCAGCCAACCTCCCTGCTGTGCAGACACATGTGCAGCTATTTCAAAAGAGAGGATCTCATGGCAGGTCTCAACATGACACTCTTCAAACATCTTGAAAGTGCCATTGTGTTTCCTAAGACTTCATGGCATCTCAGGATGGGAGGACTGTACCTATGGTGTCGTTAGAAATAAGAGAGAGGAGTCAAACTGATATCCCCCCTGAAATGCATGGACAGATGGAGCATAGCTCTTTTTTTGGAATGGCAGGAGACAAGGGCCTTGCTTGCAGCCGAGAGACTTTCAAAGGTGATAGTCTTTCTGCACTGCCAGCCACATGAGGGCTTGTAAGTGCAGAAAAGGCCATCTCCAGGCAATATCAGAAACTGTCTGCCTTCCCTATGCATCCCGTCCGTCCCCACCCCCTCCCCCCCTTCCGGTGACTGACAGAAAGACAGTGGTTGCTCTTGAGAACTATCCATTATTATCTTAGATATTGTGACTGCAATATTTGCCTGATTCCCTATATATTCCCTATAGAAAACACTACAGAAGCATTGATCCATGCAAGACAATTAAAAATGTTTTTTTACGGGTGACCTGCCTGTCTGTTGGAGAATTTCATTACCAAATGCAGTCTTGTTATTAGTATCAATTAGGTCGATAAATGTGTCTTGTTCATTCACCTGCTGAGTATTGTCTAAACCTTTGACTGTGAGCTCCCCAGGGCATGTGTAGTGCTAGCATAGGGGGGCCCCGGTCCCTGTTTGGGGTACTTAGGCACTGTGCCAATAGTGCAACGGAATAATCCCAGTATTTAAGGCAGGATGTTTCCTCGAGAGGTCTGCCCCGGAATCCTGTGAGGGGAGAAAAGATTGCTGACAATAGTGAAGTGACCAAAGGAAGTGGGCTGAAGTCACGGGCATGCCAAAGCAATCGCTTACACTTTGTGTCTCCCCAGAAGTGATTTGACTTAGGTTGGCGAGTATAGTTACTGCATGTTAAATATCCACTGAATATTAAAAAACAAATAAAAAAACCCAGGCTGCGATTTAGCTGCAGCACGCTGCAGCTCCCAGTAGACATCTGTTATATAACTGCTCAACTTCAGTGAATATCATTAATCAAGCCCAACAGGCCATTTACCTGACATTTATTTAACATACACTAACAGTCTTATTAAAACTCAATTAAAGGCTTGGTCAGGTGTGTGTGGGATACTTAAAGCAAATAAATCTCAAAGCCCTGACTGTGCCCACAGAGGGGAAAAGAAAATTCCCAGATATTGATTTCCTTTACCAGCTGAGCTAACATGCTGGCTGGACCCTGTGGGACTACATTTCTAATGGAGGAAGTGACCTGCAGAGACTTCCGCAAGGTGATGTCTCAGTCCAGTTCAGTCAGCTGTGAAGCAGATGCCTTTTTTCACTCCTAGGCCTTGTTACCTAATGGACTGTGGCCATCAGAGCTGGACTTCTCCTGCTCCAGAGCCCCAGCACCGGTATTCCCTCTTATTTTTTCATCCATGTGCAGAATAAATTTTGTTGCACCAAGACATGTGAGGATGTGTACCACCCATATAAACACATGCTGCCTGCTATGGGTGCTCTGTGAATTAGCTGGCCAGAATTTGAATCTCTCCTGGGTAGCCACTCAAGTGCTCAGCTTACTGGGAACGCTGCCCAGCACCTTTACAAGCTTCGTGGAGATGCTGTTTTTCCTTCCCACTTGTGTCCTTTGACCTAGCTTACTGGTCTGCTTTCCATTTTAAAGGGACATGGTCCAATCCTCTCTCCCCCATGTTGAAATAATGCTTCCCCTGTGATTTAGAGGAGTAACCCACTGGCAGCTGAAATAGAAACCTGTTTGCTTTTGTCTCTGACTCACATACTGGTTTGTTATTCTAGGGTGGGATCCTATGTGTCAGGCTAAAGTGAATGCACTGTTGAGGCCCAGGGTGTGGAGCATAGGGTGGCTGCTGGGCACGCTGACACCCATCTCTTACCGTACCGGTTGGAGGGCAGAGTCGCTGTTGCTCTGAGGCTCTTGCTGGGTGTGAAAGTGAATCAGATGGAGGAGCGTAAGGTGCTGCATTGCAGTCTCTCTGGCACCTTCCCTGTAGCTGGAAACCACTGATGGCCTGGGGCTTGCCCCATCTCTCTGGGCTCATTAGATATGCTGACAGCTAGCTTCCCCCACTGACCTCCCCTCCTCAGTTGGTCAGTTTCAGTGAGATTAGTACATCCCGCAGCCAGTCTGAGTTCTTGGCTCTTGTCCCTCCCGGTGATGTTCCCTCTCCATGTGATTGATCTCAAATCAGTAATTATGTGGCACCTTTTTTCTTGGAGGATAAGGGCGTGTGGAACCAACACAGCATTGGCAAAATGCAGGCTCCCTGAGAGTGTCTGGCTTTGTTTTCCCAGCCCAAAGCTACCTTATTCAGACCTTACATTAGTGTGATAGGTGCAGGGGAACCGACAGCCTCTGAGCAACCCTAGGCAAGGTGTATGAGGGGCAGCTCTGCACTCCAGGAAAAGGTGGAGCTTGGGCAGAAGGGGCAGGGCCGGAGCAGCCAGCTTCACCCCCCAGCCCTCATAACTGCACGGAGCATGTGGCATCCCAGCAGTGATTGAAAGGGCCTGAGGCAGGTGTCTAGGAGCCGTGGCCCCTTTGAATCACCAGGCCCTGGGGCAACTTCTCCCCTGGACAGATACCAGGCTGGTTCTGCGCTATTGGACCTGGGACCTCCTCATACCTAAGCCTGGCACAGGGGTTTGTGAAGCACTTTGGGATCTTGGATGCAAGGCCCCATCCACGTACAGCATATTCTGGTCAGGCTGGCAGACATTTGGGTGCTAGTGCCCTCCTTAGATTCTTCCAGCTCAGTTGCGTGCATGTAAATCCCTCTCGCCATGACCACCTGGCTCTGTCTATTTTTCAGCTTCTTTGGAGATGAATGAAAGTTCTCGCTGGACAGAGGAAGAAATGGAGACAGCCAAAAAAGGTAATGCAGTCTTTTACCTCTGCTGCCCATCCTGATGGTCAGGAAAGGAAGCTGGTCTGTACGTGCACAGCAGGGACAGTATGGGTCTGCTACCACCTTGAATCTAGGGGTCCTGATTCTGTTCTTCTTTACACTGATTAAACCCACTGTGTAAGCCCATTGACTTCAGTGGTGTTACACTGTGTAGGAGAGTGAGAATGAGGACCTGTGTAGTCTGAGAAAAGTGCTTTTGTGTGGTTTTGGTAACAAGCCACAATACTGGCAGCAGCTTTGGATTTTGTAACCCCTGGTCCAGGAGTCATGCTTGGTTGGTGTGTGTCATGGAAGGACAAGGTGGGGTAACAGTACCCTTGGCTCTGTGTTGGAGTGAGGCTGCTGAAAGAGATGGCTGCATGACCAGAGGTCCAGAAGTTGGGGTTGGTGTTGAACTGGGAGAGTAGCTGGTGGTCAGCAGGCCTGGGGTGGATAGCTGGAGTTTATCTCTAGCTCACAGTGTTGATGGACCATCTAGTCCAGACATGAATTTTGTTACATGGTCATGAGCAGGCTCCACCCCTGGAAGGGGCGTAGCTGGGGGGGCAGAAGGGGCAGGGCTGGGGACTAGCCTCTCCCCTGAGTTGTCTGGGGCTGGAGGCTTTGAATTAAAAACACAGCAAAGGGCTTGTGGCTCCCGGCCCTGCTGCTACTGTGTTGCCAGTCAGTTGCCCAGGATTGTTGCTGCTATTTAAAGGGCTCATTGGATCCTGCTGCCTGAATAACCACCTGGAAATTCGATGGCACAGGCAGCAGGATACAAATAGAGGCCAGATGCAGTCCACAGGCTGGATCAGAGTGTAAGGTGGGATGGATCCAGCCCCTGGGCCACAGCTTTCCCAGCCCTGATCTAGTCTGGCCACTGCATATCGCAAGCCACCAAACACCACTTCTCCACCCCGAGTCCAACCACCAGAATTAGACTAGAGTACTGTAGTCTGTGTTCTACAGGCAGGAGGGAGCAAGAGGCCCAGTTCCCAAGGTCCCTGCAGTGAGGGAGATAAGACCAGCAGGTAATCCAGGACCCATGCAGAGGAAGGGGACTCTCCCTAAGGTCCTTGCCAGTGTGATCTGGGAGAAAATTCATTCCTGACCCAGTGTTTGGGGTCCAGATGCACACATGGCCCTGCTCTGGTAAAAGGCACATTCCCTGGTGGCCAGGCAGAGGATTCCCATGTGTAAAAAAGAGCAGAAGATAAACTCCATGACGCGTAACTGCACAGCTATAGTAGTCCAGTAAGGGCAAGCCAGAGTTTCTGATCTCTGCTGCCTCCCTTAGAGACTGCGCTGTCGCTTGTAAAGCAGTTGTCTCTGCTACATCAGGCCCTGCTCTGGTAAAAGGCACATTCCCTGGTGGCCAGGCAGAGGATTCCCATGTGTAAAAAAGAGCAGAAGATAAACTCCATGACGCGTAACTGCACAGCTATAGTAGTCCAGTAAGGGCAAGCCAGAGTTTCTGATCTCTGCTGCCTCCCTTAGAGACTGCGCTGTCGCTTGTAAAGCAGTTGTCTCTGCTACATCATCAACTGAGCGTCCCCAGGTCCTGACCTGCTGAATGCTGAAACCAGGGCTGTCCCTTTAACGGGGGCGAGGCTGCTGGAAAGAGGAGGTTTATTTCGCATCCTGTGGCCGAGAGAGTGCGTCGCTGAGACCGTTAGGTCGATGTGCTGAGTGTAGCAGGCTCCCTTTGCCACTTCCCCCTTGTTTGCTGGGCTCCCGTGCCAAGATTTCTGCTGTTAAATTTTTTCCTAAGTCATGTCCTGTTGCTCTGTGGTTGAGTTCCCAGCCAGCGCCCAGTGCATCCTGCTCAGCTTGCCTGCGAGTTGTGTAGGTGCCCCGCCACAGCTTCATTTGGGGATAGCAAAATTAGACAGACCTGGCAGGCAGGAGCTAGATCATTTGAGAAAAGCACCCGCAGGAGGCATGTAGACTATAATCTCTGGCGTCTCACGTGCCAGCACAGTCCTGGGCTGAGCTGACTTAATATGAACACACCCATATGTTTGGCTTGTTCTCATTCTGACCCCCTTGCTAAGACCCCATGCCAGTCTTGCATCTGGCCAGGCATTGTTATCTCTAAGCTCATCCCTTGCTAGCTAGACTTCAGTCAGGCTGCCTGACTGAGCTCTTGCTGCTGGGATTAGCAGCTGCTGGTCAGTGGGTTGCCACTGTAAGGATCACTTCTAGCTACCCCCTTTTTCCTATTTGACGTCTCACTGTAGAAGAGCCACTTTGCCATTTAGGCCCCACCGTGAGGCTGTGCTGAAAGGATCACTCATGGTACCCACCCATCTAGACCAACATCAAGAATAGAACAGGAGCAGGAGGGATCCAGTAGCCCACAATCTGCACAGTTTGTCTAGGAAGGCAGTGAATAGCACAGGGTTAGCTCAGCCTACAGGAGTGTGGAGTTTGGCCACTCCCATCTGCTTCACCTGTCTGTTTGAATGACATTTCCCCCATGCACTGATCCACGGAATAGCCAGCTTTCCATCTTGAACGTCTGCAGAGAAGCTAAATTCCCATTTTGCCAGGGCCTAGCCAGCTGCACAAAGCATTTTCTCACTAAATGCCCCAAGCAAGTGTGAATTAGCTCGGACTGGCACTTCTAAAGATCCTGGATTCTTTGTTTAGCCTGCAGCCAGTTGGCATTCTGAAAATTCACAGAGAACCTCAGATGTCAGTCCCAGACTGATCCTGCCAACTGACGGCTGTCAGGGTCCAATCCAGCAGCACGTAGAGCAGGGGACTTGCTGTGGGATAGTAAAGAACTGCAGCTGAATAATTGCTCCAGATTGCCATCTGCGTGAGCATATGGGATAACCCTTGCACAATGATGCTGAACAGAGAGATTTTAAGTAAGAGATGGAGGTATGCTGGATACAGGGTCAGACAACAGAGTGGAATACCATGTTATTCAATTAACTAGGGGAGCAAGAAACCTGTAAAAATGAAATTCTTGTTTAATGCCACTTTACTTTGTAATAAACTTTGGTTCGATAGTCTGCCAAAACATTCAGCGATTGGTATAGCCATGAGGAGTCCTGTGGCACCTTATAGACTGACAGATTTATTGGAGCATAAGCTTTCGTGGGCAAAGACCCACTTTGTCAGATGCATGCATCTGATGAAGTGGGCCTTTGCCCACAAAAGCTTATGCTCCAATAAATCTATTAGTCTATAAGGGTATGTCTACACTACAGCGCTAATTTGAACTAACTTAGTTCGAATAAGTTAATTCAAACTTATGTCATATACCTAGACTTTAGTAAGGCATTTGATACGGTCTCGCATGATATTCTTATTGATAAACTAGGCAAATATAACTTAGATAGGGCCACGATAAGGTGGGTGCATAATTGGCTGGATAACCATAGTCAGAGAGTTGTTGTTAACGGTTCTAAATCCTGCTGGAAAGGGATAACAAGTGAAGTTCCTCAAGGGTCTGTTTTGGGACCCGTACTGTTCAATATCTTCATCAATGATGTAGATATTGGGATAGAGAGTACGCTTATTAAGTTTGCAGATGATACCAAACTGGGTGGGATTGCAACTTCTTTGGAGGATAGGGACATAATTCAAAACGACCTTAGCAAGTTAGAGAAATGGTCAGAGGTAAACAGGATGAGGTTTAATAAAGAGAAATGCAAAGTGCTCCACTTAGGAAGGAACAATCAGTTCCATACATACAAGATGGGAAGCGACTGTCTAGGAAGGAGCATGGCGGAAAGGGATCTAGGGGTCATAGTGGACCACAAGTTGAATATGAGTCAACAGTGTGATGCTGTTGCAAAAAAAGCAAATATGATTCTAGGTTGTATCAACAGGTGTGTTGTAAGCAAAACTCGTGAAGTCATTCTGCCGCTCTACTCTGCACTAGTTAGGCCTCAGCTGGAGTACTGTGTCCAGTTCTGGGCACCACATTTCAAGAAAGATGTGGAGAAATTGGAAAGGGTACAGAGAAGAGCAACAAGAATGATTAAAGGTCTAGAGAACATGACCTATGAAGCCAGGCTTCATGAACTGGGCTTGTTTAGTTTGGAAAAAAGAAGATTAAGGGGGGACATGATAGCGGTTTTCAAATATCTAAAAGGGTGTCACAAGGAGGAAGGAGAAAATTTGTTCCTCTTGGTTTCTGAGGACAGGACAAGGAGTAATGGGCTTAAAGTGCAGCAGGGGAGGTTTAGATTGGACATTAGGAAAAAATTCCTAACTGTCAGGGTGGTCAAATATTGGAATAAATTGCCAAGGGAGGTGGTGGAATCTCCCTCTCTGGAGATATTTAAGAACAGGTTAGATAGACATCTGTCAGGGATGGTGTAGACAGAGCTTGATCCTGCCTTGAGGGCGGGGGGCTGGACTCGATGACCTCTCGAGGTCCCTTCCAGTCCTATTATTCTATGATTCTATGATTAATAAA